AGGAAGACAACAGAGAGAGGAGTCCCGGAACTTGGCGCGGCAAATAGCCATTTTTAATGGCTACGAAACCGTAGCTCGAGGTAGGTGTAGAGGAAACCACAGGTAGCCCAACGATAACTCTAGGGACAACAAGGTCCTGTTTATACTGCTCTTCATTTCAAATGAAGTAAGTGCAGCTATAAAACACTGTTTAAGAAGGGCCAGTCTAGAGAATTCGGTAACGATAATCGATCGAAATACCACCGAATAATCTAAGGTGCCAGCTAGTTCGTAACCGCCTATACGACCGTCTATGTGCAACGCAAAATTGCATAATTTGCCCCAATGGTAGAGACGGTGACTACATGAGTTCGGGTACAGTCTATCTGATCTCTTGTAAAGCGTGCGGAGACGAATACGTTGGCGAAACGGGTAGGCCACTCTGCGTACGTATAAAAGAACACCTAGTCGGCAAACGTAAGCTAAGTACTCCACTAGGTACGCATCGCACGCAGAAACATAACGGAGAAGATTTTGAAGTAAGGGTTACGATCCTTGCGCAAGAATCGAGAACACAAGCGCGCAAAACTCTAGAGGCATTCTGGATAAATTCCAAGAATCCGAAAATGAACCGCAGGGAGGAATGCCTCGTTATCACGCGTGATATTGGACAGTATATAAACCTGTTATTCTGATCGGAGGGGCACATTACGCTTCCATCTGAATTCTGTGCGGTCGGTCTTCACGCGACATACTCAGTGGAAGACTCATAGAAAGCGGTGAGTGTGCAGAGCTATGCTTAATGTGATTGAAATCTTGGTTTAGCGTTTTCTCTGTTTGGTTATGGAGGTGTTTGGCCGAGTGGATTGCTGTCAACTTGACCCTTCCAGGCTCTGAGGAAGGTGAAATCCGCCGAAACGTCAGCTTGTGCGTAAATAAAGAAATAAAATAGCACCTCGTGTTTGCTGAACAGAAGTAGAAAGATATATTCAATCAATGCCGAGGTTAATAGAAAGTCGGACTTGGGAATTAAAATGATACATTAATTTCGCTCACTCTTCTGATTGTTTCCAACGTACTCCAGCTGGATCCATCGAGCGCCCTCGCACTCTGGAATAGGTGGATTGAACATATGCTGCGTCCCCATTGGCAATGGCGACGGCAAGTATTGCCAGCTCTCAGCCCAACCCTGCGTTTGAGAACTGCGCTGAAAATGAAGGTTTTATTTATGGGCCATGATAGAAGAGGAATAAACAGGCGAGCTGCATGAAAATACGAGGAGGTAATATTCTAGAATATCAATCGATATGCACGACCACTGGGAAGAGAAGCATTGTCATTTGAGTGCAGAGAAATGTGGTGAAGGGATAAATCAGGATAGGTTAGAGAGTTAGATATTATATGAAAGGCAGAGTATCAGAACCTTGCATAAAACATTCTCGAATCTTTATTCCATTAAAACACTATACCAAAGAAGCGCTTGGTGTTGACACATGGTTAAAAGTGATGAGAGACCGGGAATTACAGTAAATTTCGAAAAGGATGCTGGTGTAGACAAACATTCTAGAAGTAAACACATGGGCATATCGGTGAAGACAAAGAGTGAATTTTGCAATCATACAACTCTTCCGTAATGAGAATTATTTCATGCAAAGTGTCCACATGGCAGTACCAATTTTCATCACTACAGAAAAGATTTAAGAGGAAGGGAGGCGTGTGTGATATAGTCATCTTAGTGACTGCTTGCGCGTCGCCTGATTTGATTCTTGAGGGCCACGGAAGGTCACGAGCAGTAAACTGTGTCGAGGTATCCAGAAGATCAGCAACAACGAGGAGACTTCATTACAATCCAACCTTAGTGAGCTTCAACAGTGTAAATAACTTACCCGTGCCGCATTTCCGGCCGCATGGCGCATCGTGTCCGCATCACGCAAGTTCGACCGATCGAGAGACAACAAGAAGCACGTAGAACTCTTACCGTTTCCTTTTAATGTTTCATCGATCACGGCAACACGATTCTGAAAAGAAAACGGCGGTACACGTAGAAGAGAACATTCATCCCAACGCTTCTAATTTCCGTCTCATTTTTATCGCGTGCTAGTGTTGTTTAGGTCACTAAAACAAACTTCACCTAACATTCCTTCCTATCCGCCAAAAATAGTACAAAAATTCTTTCTACAGACTAGAAATACCGAGTGTTCCTGCTAAATAACAGTACATTGAATATTTTAAAACGTGTCTCAAACATCAAACTATTGCATATGTACCATGGATTTCATAAAAAGGACATATTTTCATTTTCCTTTGTTGAAAAGATACCGATTTCGTTTATAATTGAAGAGACCCGATGTAGACATTCTAGCAGATATCAAGCGGAAGTGGCTCCACTCCCAATAACATCTTCAAGAACTTAGTTTGTTAGAGAATCAATTATTGTTATCCATGACAACTTCAAGCACTGAAAAGGATCCTGTGCGGTACAGTGTAGTAAAAAAAAAATGACGGAGAAGGTGAAATAACAAATTGCGCATCGAAAGTTGGCAACAATCTAGCTACTGCGAGGGATCTGCCCAATCTGTTTGCACCAAATTGGAATGTTCTGCTCGAGATATTTCAGCCAAATCACTTCAATAAACGGTATTTTCCTGGAAATTATTCTAGTCGTTGGCAGAAAGGGGGCGTTTGTCGTACCGTAACCGTGGACGAAGCCGCTGCTTCTATACGTGCAAGGATCAAACGTTCTGAATGTAGGACTCTGCCTTCATCCACTGTAGTCCAATCTCACTTACCGTTCGAAATGGTTTTTTTTACGAAAAGTTCTCTGCACGGTATACTTCTGTGCTTGAATTCTTAAGAAAACTTATGACATCCAAAGGCAAGAGGTGATTGTGTTAAAATGGTATTCGTTTGCCAAAGACTTCAGTCATCTTTTCCCTTAAATTTGCCTTTTCTTCAGAGCTATGGCTTTTATACGAACGAATAACGCCCCTAGATCTGATGTATTTCGTGCTCCTTGAAAATCAAATAACCGTAGTCAGAATTATTTCAATTTCCAACTTGTAGTGATCATGTTTTCAGCAGTATCTTGGTGTGAAGAGAGCAAATTTGTTAACTATTGAAGAAATTCACAAACTATTTTTTTAAGATGAAAGTCTTAACGGCTACCGTTTTGAAGTCGTAGTAGCTGATGTAGTTTCCTTTGAAAGGCATTGCGCCTTGCATTTGGAGTCGAATCTGCAAGTGGAACGATTATAACGACAAGGCTTCTGAAGTGAATCTGCTGGTATTCGTCTGATTTGACGGACACTCGGAACGCACCCGATCGTCGTCGGTCCTCATTTCTATCCGTACGGGTGTGTTCTGTCCATTTCGGTACATTTCCGGTGCCAACCACGACATTTGAGCAGTCTGTTAGCGAATGAGTAATTCTTCATAATCACTGACACAGTAAAGATTTTGAGTGTTGCTATGATGAGCGTGATAGCACCACAAGTGATCAGATAGTTATGGAGATTATTGGTTGTAGGTAATAGGTTAGTACAAACAATAGAAAACGCCAGACTTTACCGTTACGAATTTCACTAATCCATGTTGTAATAAACACTTATTGTTTACATCGCAGCCGCATGGTGTTCTCGTGCCTATTTGTTGTTCATCGTTTAGTCGTCATAGATTTTCTACAATTTAATTTGCTGTAATTTTAAGCTATTTTAAATGACGGTAACGAAGCAAGAAAATCTTATGGCTTTGCGCTTCCCTCATGCATTTAAATTTGTGCAGACTACAGCGGAAAGGACTCGAAATCTCGTAAAAGCATAGGGCTAGAAAAGAGCTTTTTAGTGCAGAGTGCAAAGGTTGTTTCACTAGAAGTTTCGCACTGGAAATACGAGACTTCATTACGGTGATAGTCAAGGGCGCTCTTCAGCTGTTAACGACGAGCCTCTGACGTCGATAATTTTTTTGATTTGTTAACCTTCCAAAAACTGTTTGGGAGGTTGTATGGTAGCCCTACTCGTTGTTTAAAAATCAGTTTATAGAAGGAAAGCTCGATAAATGGATGCTACACTAATTAAACATTAAGCGCGATAACAACCGCCACAATGACGCTGAGATATTTGCAAAACTCGAAACATCATTTCTGCTTCCTAGATCAATGCCGTTGACGGCCGATTTCAGATAGCACTGTTAGGTAAGATAATACTGGCTAACAGAAAGCTAAGCAAGAGCCTCAGCGATGTAGTAAATAACACGTGAGCACGCGGAATGGGTAATCATGGATTCGACGCTGGTCTAGGATATCGAATTTTGCAAATATCCCAGCAACATTGTCGTTGTCTTTCACATAACATTCTGCCATGAAAAAATAATAAACAGTAGTTGAAGAGCTATTTATTATTAATAACAATAGTGATGGAAACCTGGTTTCGGACACGTTGCCACCCAACCACCACTTGAAACACTTTAAAATATTACCCTAAGATATATCTCCAAAAAACCTTTCGTTTCCTAACCCCTTTTGAGAACTTTTCTGGTGAATTCGAGGCTTCCAGAACCTTACAGCTCTATACTGCCGAAGCAAATAACCCGAATCCTGTTGACAAAAATGTCTTAGTTCTAATCGTTCTTGTCTTGAACAGAAATGTTTTGATCGTGCAAACGTAATGGCCATGAATACCTGCCACCGTTTTCTCATCCATCTGACTGAGCTGATTTTTCGGGACGCTTATAAATTGAAACTGCACACCACCATTTAATGCATGACCTTCAGATTTCAGAACAACATTTTTGTGGACAACGAATTAAACGTTAAAAAGCATCTTCATGAACCTATGAAAAAACTCGTCAAAGAATAATGGGAATCATTTTCAACAACTATGGGCTATTTCTCTGGTACTGCTTCGATATCCTCTCGAAGTAAGCTTCGTTATTTTAAAACTGAGGCCCGAAGTGGTATAAGATTGGCCGTTGGAAATTTTATTTGGCAGATGACTTGTCTTCTCTTCATTTTGATGAATCTCCAGATTGAATCTCACATTAACACGATGTTTTTCCACTCTTTATTGCATAAAAATAAATGGGTCACCTTGATGATTTTCCACCTCACCGTTGTTAGGAAGTTTCTCTGGTGTCATAGAGTGACGTACAGTACAGTGCTCATGCTGAGTAGGACATCGACTCCGGGAGTTCAACAAAGAGAACGAGTTGCTGAGTGGCAAATCCATCTTCGACTATCAAAGATCTGCATGTACAGATAGTAGGACGTTTAGAAACGTACTCGTCTAGGCATCCGATAAAAAACTTTCCAAGCTACCTACCATCCAAGTGAATGTTCTTCTAGGTCCGGCTTGAATAACCACGAAAACGAGCTCTTCATGTACTCGAGTAAAATAAGTAAGCAAGGATTCTTCATATGGAACTGTTCCGGTAGTAGTAGGACAGCTTCACATTTCACGAAGCATGAAGACATTAGGCATTTTTCAAAAATGAGGACCAGTAAAATATGTATTGACATACAAATTTGGCGCCTCAGTCTCCATCGGAGAAAATGAAATGGGTTAAACAATAGCCAAGAAGTTGCCAAAACTACTGGCCAGTGTTTACCCAAATATCCATTATGGTGTCGTGAACACTAGACTATAGTGTTAATGCAAAAATAATGGCGAAATTCGACTGGCGCTTTGAAATACCATAATTCGGCAGAGACAACCTTGTTGATTAAGCTTCCTTCACAAGTCGAAAGTATTTTGCTGGTACATCTTGTAATAGTTCACAGGATCGACTTTCTATTAACCTCGGCATTGGAATATGAATGCGTCGTTTTCTTGTTCAGCAATTGCGAGGTTTTTAAACAACATACATTTACTTCCATAGAGAAACACAATACAATACAACGCTAGCTGACGTTTCGGCAGTATCGCCTTCTTCAGAGCCGCTTTTTTGTGACTTCCAATGAGGAAGTGCCGTCGTCGTCAACCATATGCGACTATAATCAGCTGTTCTAAACTTCCTCATTGGAAGTCACGAAAAAGCGGCTCTGAAGAAGACGATACTGCCGAAACGTCAGCTAGTGTTGTATTGTATTGTGTTTCTCTATGGAAGTAAATGTATGCTGTTTAAAAACCTCGCGATTGCTGAACAAGAAAACGACGTATTCTTATTGATTAAGACAAGTATCACTAGGATCAGATGATTTTTCTACAATAAAGATTTTATAGCGGTAGTAGAAAGCAAATTCTAAGAAAGAGTGTTCTGCAACAACTGCATCGTTTAACAATTTTTAAGAAGTTTGTTGCCCCCATGAATGGAATAGTTGCAGCTGGCTAGCGAGAGATCCATTGGGTACATTGGATAAGACTCTGCAGTTCTAGTTGTGCTACGTTCGTAGAGTGTAGTTGTGTAGTGTAATTCGATCTTCTGTACTCACAGTCGCCTAATAGACACGCTACAACTTTTTATGCATGCAATCGATTGCACAGGAGGATTTTCGTGCTGCAGTCGTTTCAGTAAAATATATGAAATTTTTGGAAAAAATCCAGCTGCAGACTAAGTCACTATAACCATTTTTGATGTAATTTCATATTTAAGGTGCGCATTAGGAGTTTCAAGATGCAGACAAGCCGTTGCGATTGGTGAACTCAAAGCCCTGGTTCGATCCCGTATCAGGCCAACCAAGTCTTCAGTCAGATTGGGATCGTGGAATTGGTGCCGAACTTGTATGTGATCAACTAGCTATCTCTAATTCAGGAAAGATACTCTTTCACGGCGATGTCAAGGCTCCATAGAGAATAGACAGGAGCACCATTCGAGATGTTGGGTCATGTGAAATAAGATAAGAGACTCCATCTCACTACTTTGCTGAACGTTGTCAGCTGTCATACATAATAGACTTTCAACCGTACATTGCAGTGCGATCGAGAAATGAGTTGAATGATATTTTGAATTCGCCTAATTTATGTTGTAATTACTATTTCAAGCTTTTTCACGTATCTGGTGATTTCCAAATAATGAACAATTATTGACTAGTTACCACCGAATTTCCCTATAAATTCCATGTAGTTTTTGAAGGATCAGCTTTGATGGTCCCTATAGATGGTTGTCGTCAACGGCTGATAGACATCCTAGATCTTCGCAGTAGAGAGTCATATCTCGATATGACATTTTCTGAAGCATCTGCTCAGCATTCTCTACGCCCAAAAGTTTTTGCACTATTTCCCGACTTTCCAGCCGTTTTTGCGAAAGTACGTGCGGGTTTAATTTCAGGAAGGAAGATGATATCTCATCGGACTAAAATCACCACATCTGAGGGGTCGGATTGAATTGGTTCACGACAAAAGCCTAGGCAATTAATATTTTTTACGAAATATATTTGTAAAATTCGTAGTGGTAAAATCCCCTTTTAATTTTGTACCAACGTTAGAGATTGTAGTTATTACGAATGCAAACTCTTAAGATTGATGAGCGGTTGGATAGTTACAACAAAAGCGAAAACATGGAAGAAACAAGGAGAAGCAACTTGGGAGGCTACTTCACCGCATTTCTGTCAAACAATCTCAAAACAACTTTCCAACAAACCTTCGGTGGCTTGAGCACTTGTGTAAGCACAATGGCACTAATTATTCCAGCAATTATTGCGAGTACAAGTAGTAAGAGACAAATGTAGCAGCATGGACGTGAACACCTGGAACATTATGGTCTCGAAAGAGCACAGAATCCAATGTTTGATCGGTTTTCTTGGACTACAAAAATGAGAAATGCCTCTGCCCTGTAGATTCAAAGTTTTCTAAATTGCCATTTTGTTTCACGAAACATAAAAGCATTATAAAAGATGCAGTTTTAAGCAATGGAGGCTCTCAAAAATTCCTTACTGAGCTCCTAAGCATCTTTAATATTAAAATCGTGAGTGAAACTGATATATTGAGAAGTAAGAACGTACGCTGCCTTCCATTCCTGTAGTCGATTGCGCTTCATGACCGGATGCGAGCCGACGGCCGGTGGCGCCACAGGTGCAGTCGCCACGGATGGCGCCCGCGACTGCGTGGCGGACGGTGGCACCAACGTGCCTGCTGGCGCGGGCGGGGCCAGCTTTAGTGGCAGCGGCTGCGCGCTGTTGATCTGAACGCGCAATATTAGGCTCTCATATAGCTCCTGAAGACTTTAATCACTGATATCCGGAGTAGTGATTGTTTATGACTGTAAGCATTACACACAGCAATTCTTCGCACTTTTTTTTTGAGCAAACGCGAGGTGTTATTATTCTTTATTCACGAATAAGCTGACGTTTCGGCGGATTTCGCCTTCCTCAGAGCCTGGAAAGGTCAAGTTAATAGCAATCTACTCGGCCAGACGCCTCCATAACCAAACAAAGAAACTATAAACCAAGATTTCAATCACATTGAACACAGCTTCGCACACGCACCGCTTTCTATGAGGTTTCCACTAAGTATGTCACGTAGAGACCAACCGCACAGAAATCACCTGGGAGGGGCATAATGTGCCCCTCCAATCAGAATAGCAGTCTTATATACTGCCCTATATCACGCGTGATAATGAGGCATTCTTCCCTGCGGTTCATTTTCGGATTTCTGGAATTAATCCAGGAATGCCTCGAGAGTTTTCGCGCCTGTGTTCTTGATTCGCGTGCGAGGATCGTGACACATACTTCAAAGTCCTCCCCGTCATGTCTCTGGGTCCTATGCGTCTCTAGCGGGGTATTTCGTCTATGTTTGCCGCCTAGGTGTTCTTTTATGCGGACACGGAGGGGTCTGCCCGTTTCGCCAATGTATTCGTCTCTGAACGCCTTACAGGAGATCAGATAAACTATACCCGAGTTAATGCAATCGCCGTCTCTATCATTGGGGCAAATTATGCAATTTTGAGTTGCACATAGACGGTCATCTAGGCGGTTACGAACTAGGTGGCGCTTAAGATTACTCGGTGGTATTTCAACTACGCTTACCGAATTCTCTAAACCCGCCCTTCTTAAGCAGCGTTTTATAGCTGTACTTACATCATTTGAGATGAAGGGTAGAATAAACGAGGCCTTTCTATCGCTAGAGTTGTCGTTTGGGAGCCTAGGATTTTCCCTACACCTATCCCGAGCTACAGTTTCGTAGCCATTAGAAATAGCTATTTGCCGTGCCAAGTTTCGAGACTCCTCTCTCTGCTCTCTTCCCGTGCACACGTTGGTTGCTGTTCGAAACATGTTTCTTATAAGCGCCCTTTTCGTGTGATAGGGGTGAGAGGAGAGGTAATGAACTAAGATGTTTTTACTACTTGGCTTTCGGTACCACTGTAATGTAGCCATTTTCTGACAGGTGAATTTGGACGTTCAGGAATGGAAGCCATTTATCTTTCGGCTTCTCTCGGGTGACCTTGATATATTCTGACTGTGCATTTAACAACTCGAAACATTTGTCCATTTCCTCTTGTGTTGAGCAAAGGACAAAACAGTCATCTATATATCTGCAGTAGAGTAGCGACCCGAGATCGGTCACCGGTGCTTCCACCTTAGACATAAATGCTATGGCAAGGCTTGGAGCCAGTCGTTGTCCCATTGCCGACCCTCTTATTTGAGCGTAGTACTTTCCGGCCCATCTGAAGATTGAGCAGCTCAAGCATTCTTTTAAGAGTGCCATCAGGTGCTCTATCTTGAAGCCATACATGTTTGTTTTTCCTTCGTGTTGTGTAAAGAGTTCGAATATGGCTTGCATTGCGGAGTCATTCGACAGGTTTGTATAAAGGGCGGTAACGTCGGGGGACTCCATCCCGCACGCGCTGTTGGGCTGCGCAGTACGTAGACGATCCAGAAACATCTGGGTATTCGTAAGATGGGCTGGAATGTGTTTCAACAACTGGTTAAATATCAGGGTTAAAAACAATGTTATCCTGTCCGTTGGCCCGTCTACGCAGCTAATGATAGGTCTAACCTTAAATAGTGATGGATCGGTAGACGCAAGATCGTCGCTGGTTACTAACTTATGAGTTTTTATAAGTAAGTACAAGACGGGGGATGTTGGTAAGTCAACTTTAAGTTGATAGATAACTAATGGTTCTAAACCAGCAGCCCTTGCCATTTTGGTCCATTCGTAGTTAATTTTCGGTATTTACTTTTAAATTCCTTCTCAGAAGATGGGCGAGAAAGTGAAACATCTTCAAGATGCTTTTTCGTTATCTCCACATCTAACTGATAAGGGATTACGACAAACTCTCCACCCTTATCCCTAACGGATAGTCTTATGGTTTTCAACCTTATCAGCTCTCGTACCTCTCGCATACCACGTTTTTGCACTGGAGTGAGGTTTGAGCTGTATCTTTTCGCGCGATAGTGATTAAGGACTTTGAGAGCTTCATTCGCAAACATCCGAAAATTAACATCAACTTCATTATTGGGCTCTTGTTGTCTAAAGAACGTCGGGGGAAATGGTGCTATTGGTAGGGCCCCCACTTGGCTCTGTTACACACAGCATTGGACGTCTTCACCCTACTCGTCCAAATTACATTTACCTTGCTATTAGATTGACTTTCTCAATAGACTTGTTATCCTCACTGTAATGATAAGTTTTTTGCCGAGTACTATAATACTCAGGAGTACATTCAAGAATAATACTTTGGGGATTGTGTTCTGCATGAAAATAGTGCAGAACTACGATTTGAATAAGGCAGGTAAATGGATGGAAGCCGGAGATCTTTGTATTGAACGCCTAATTCATCGATTTTATCGAAGTTATATCGCCTAGATGTCCGCGATTCCCAAGCGAAGGAGATGACGTACAGCCGGCCACCGTCGAATGGCCACAAGTCCCTTTGTTTCGCGTTTGCTCCCCGCTGAAGTTCACAAGGGATTTCCGCGTGGCGAGCGGAGACCTCAGCAAATAAACATCTCATAATTGCTGTAGGCAGGTGCGGACCAACGTACTAGCGCGCACTATCACTGACGAAAGTTGAATGTCGTGAAAGCGTCACTTCGCAGCAAATGGCAATTTTTAGCGCGCTTCTCTGAGCAATAGTTTTAGACTATTGTGGATTACTATTTCCTCTATGACGCAAAATCAAGTATCGCTAAGAAGTAAAGCTCAAACACTACCAGCTACAAGCCTTGGAAAACGCGTCAGACGCCAAATTTGAATAAATGTTCATGCTGAATAATCTCAGTACTGTCAGCTACTCCAACGGGTATATTGTAGAATTATCTAATGGGGTAATTATTAGACTATCTATCGAGGACCGCATCTGTAGAAAATAAAGCCAGCGACTGCGGTACCGCTGCTGTTGTTATTAAGGGGAATGGTGGACGAAGCAAAGGAAAATGCTGCTTTGTAGATATTCATGTCTTACCATAACTTTATCAAGAAAAGTGTTGCCGATCTAAGGCTCCAAAAACGGCTACGGTTACGTACACATGCAAAGATAACCAGAAGAATGAAAAGTGACATATAATTATTTACCAGATGGAATTGGTAGTTGTCGGAAACGAAAGCGAGCTGGGATGAAGCTCGAGAAGAAATTTGATGAGCGGCGTGTACTATCTGAAGGTGAACTAGTAGACGGAGGGTAAGATGATAAAACAATGAATTCTCTATTTTCGAATTCTTGTAATGGTTTCTAACTAGGAATTGCTACCGTAGTGGTCGATTTACTAAGCAAACTGCTCCATTTGCCAAATACTATCTCAAGAAGACACAAAAAGGCACTTTAAAACAAATCGATATAAAAGACCCTCCAACTGGGTGTGATTTATCACCACGGAAGGCTTTGGAAGCCCACAAGCAATTAGTATCTCAACAAGTCAATCTTTTGATATTCGTTGGGCCAGATCTGTTCGATGTGTCAAATGCCATCCAGTGGCTGGCAACTTATCTATATTCTAAGAAGTCGTTCTAATGCTCAGTACCAGAAGCTCTAAATTGTATACTTTTTGACTATATAAAATATAAATGATGAAAATCATGAATGCATAATGGCACTTTCAGCTCACAAATCTAGGAGACGACGCCTTAAGAGTTGCCACAAATTTCCCTTTAGCATCAAGATACAGATTATTGAATGACACACCAATATTCTACCCGTTAAGGACTTACAAAACAAATTAACACCCTAAGAAAGACGCGAATTGCACAAGATTTGTCAAGCTGACCATTTTCGGCTATCGAAACCGACCTGTTTCACTTTCGGATAGCAGTTCAACTTGTGTTTGTTGAGATTCTCATCAGACTCAACTAAATTCGTCCAACTAGCACGGCGCTTACCGAGACCTTCAAAAAATGAAACAAATTTTTCAAACTCCTAATTTTTTTGCATGAATAAATTTTGTGATTCCATTCAACTGCTGTTACCTGACGATGCAGAGCAGTCGCTCCATGTGTCCGTCTCGGTTACCGAACCGCTGACACTACGGTATGCCGGAGGCGGACCTATAATTATGACGGTCATTGTATAAATAATTATTGCTAGAATTACTCTAAAATGCTTCTCTTTAACGTTTTTGGCTTAGCATAACAATCGTAAACATCGCTGTAAAATTGATATATTAACGCTATTCATGCTGGTACTATTTCACGTTTTCGCTTTCACTCTTTTCCATGCGCTCCAATACAAATATACAAAAAATCATGTCTTTTTAAGTTAGAAGGAAAATTTGCTCCTCGCTTACATCTTGAGAAACAACTGCTTCGCATCATTTTACTGGAGACCGTGTATGCATTGGATTGCGTCTGGAATTAATGGAAAAATGGGACAAGGTGTCCACATATGGAGAGACACATGAGCTGATGAGGTCGGCTGAGGTGTCGATAAACAAGTGCGAATGGAATAATATGCAAACCATATCGATCTCCCTCAAAGGTAACCACCAAGCTGATGCTTAGTCATTATAAATGGTAGGCAGGCATGCGGAGGGCAGTTGATAGGCATAGCTGTCTAAGCCATGACTCATCTGACGTCGAGTAATAGGGATCAAATTTCCAATGAATTGAAGAGTTTGAAGTAATTGAGTAATTGAAGAGAGTAGTAATTTTAAAAGCTCACCATGTCGACTACGTTTTGGTTCCCTATCGAAGGAGTGGAAGTTGAATGGCAACCGCGCCATTTGTCTCTCTGAAGAGTTTGTAGTAGAAGACCTGCACGACTGAGTTGAAGTAAACCGATGAAGGAAAATATTTTAGAGGAATATCGTGAATCGTAAGAATGTTAAGAATTCATAGAACGCGTATAAAAGATGGAATATACATGATATCATAACAAAGCTCAACGTGAAACTTTTAGCTGAATATGAAAAGTCATTTAGAATGAAAGTATTCTCGACAAACTACTCTTCTTCAATAATTGGGTAAATAAACAGACAAAATAGAAAAACGTTAAAAACCAATGAATTTTGCAATCAAGAGTGGTATTAGGAATATTAAACGGAATTCAGTCAGTATCAAGAATCCGGCAAAAGCGAATTGAAACTCGATGAATGGTCGGACACAAAGATTTGTCCACTGTTTAGGAGGTTCGTGTCGAATGCGACAAAATCTCCGGTGGCTGAAGAGACGAGACACGTCTGGAGAAACAAGGCCCATATTTCGCAGCACTTATTTTACCAATTTGCTAGAACCGACTCTTAACCAACTTCTTCACCTATTCCACCTATTCCAGGTATTTCTTTGACGACCTTATTCGACCTAAAACGATGACCTGGCTTTGTGTAAGAAAAAATATTCTGAAAATTGCGAAGCGTAGTGGTGATGCATACATGCTGTTCACGATGTTATTTATTATATTTCATCTATTACCATAATGCACTTCTATTTATTTCGACTAGAATGGTGTTTAGGATGTGTTTGTATCACGTCGAACTATAAACTCCAACTAATAAAAGCACTTCTTCCTCATGACTACTGTGGAAGAATTGCTGAAATGAGTGTTAACGAAGTACTAGGAGATAGTAGCCGTACCACTGTCACTAGAACCACGGCCGGGCTAATCCTTTGATTGGCTATCGGCTACCGAGACAACTGGTCACTGGGGTTGGCGATCGTTAATTTGGATGTCTTCACAATCGAATGGCCACCGCCAGTCTTGAACACCTTTCTAGGCTGTGCCTAAGAATTTTGGAAAGAGCTTCTCTTTTCTCTACCCAATCATTCATTGTAACGGACAAAATCCAACTATATATACGAAAATCGTGCCTGCGTAAGTGACTGCAAACAAAATTTCTCGAAAAAAGTACGGATGTGGTTAGACCATGATTGTCGAAATGTGTTGTACACAATACTGTGAAGTTGTGCCGTGTTTTTCTTCTATTCTACGTACTGAAAGAAAATTGAATGTACCAGTTGTTACATAATAATTCTCACCATCACTTGTTACTGCATGAAACTACTCTCTACAAGTAGATTCAGGCGCATCATATTTTTAATAGAGAGTGATCTTCTCCTGAAAGGAATCGAAAACCGTATCAAACACGGAAATGTTTCGCAGGTTCTGAATTCCAACGAATGATGCATGCTTTCAGCACAATGTTTTAACTTTCATTTGCCGCCTATTTAAAAAAGCGATGAATTAAGTTTAAAACATTGTGACTTCGACTGCAGTTTTAGGTCAACTGGGTTTAACACGAATTTGTACTCCTCAGATCATTCCCGTTGAGGGGTGATTGCTGATGGCACCCTTACGGTGAAAAACTGGCTGAGGGAAAGGCAAGCGACGGAGTCGATAGATTTCATGCATGGATAGTATGTGAGCCTGCGGAAAGGGTTACTGGGGGTTAGCTCGAAGCCCATCTACGGCTCCGAGCTTTGCTAATATGTCGGCATCTCTTCGGATGCTTTCTACGCACCTGCCAAATAGGCTATCTCATCTGACATCTGGTGAGTCCTAAGTTCTATATTTTTCAAGAAATTATTTTAAAGTATGCGCTAAGAATCCTAAATAAAAACATTTTCTCCCTGAAATTCAACGTTCAATAAAAACGAAACATCCGAACTATTTTTCTTTGCTATTTTCGTCGCCTTCTCATTCGTGTTGATTTTTTCGATCTTCAAGTGACGAAGAATACGCTCAGTCCTTCCAACAAAATGAAAATAGGATTATTGGAAATCGATTACGATTCCAAGGCACATGAAAACTGTTGGTTTTAGGTGAAGGTGCTTCTTTTATACGACAATTCGTATTTTAGGGAAACAACGAAACACCTGAAAACTATGAAATTCACCAAAAATCATATGTACTTTTCAGGTTTAGGATTAATGCGATGCCAATGAAACTCGGATACATCGACATCTGATAGGTCGAACGTAAAGCTGGAAAGGCTAGGTAGCAGCTTGGAGGCGGACGAGTGAGCGGGTCGGTCAGCCGTATACGTTTTGACGACAAGCCTCGTATGCAAATATTTGGCAGTAGCGCACCTCGAGAGTGACCGAATCGGATGGAGACCATGCGACATGCTGAGAGCTGAAATGAGCGGATCGTGAACACTTCTTAAGTCCTGTAATGCTCGCTGATGAGAAATCACGAAATCATACAGAACGGAAACCGCCTAGCTGCCCTGCTTTATAGAATAGTATTAGTGAACGTTTAGAACTGTGCGCTATCCGCCAGAAATGGAAGACAATTTCCCATCTATCTCTCAGGGAGCCAGCTAGATTATTTTCCTTTGAAGATTTTGCTCACTTAAGAAGGCAGGTGTAAGTGAAGAATTCTCTGCTTTTGATGAAATGTACCTCCGTTGGATTTATCCTATGGAGCAGCCAAGCTCTTCATCATTCTGCAAATAATGGAACTGCACCCCTTTAGGATCTAAGTCATATTTGAAGTCTCCGTGACTTTCAAAATGAAACAAAGATCTGAATGATTATCGTGACAATATGCATAGGAATAACCAGCTGTGCCCTTGATACTTCAAAGCGTTGAGACTATCATTATTTTAATTTATATGAGACTAATATTATTTTGATTTGTTCCTTAGCATGGAGCTATTTTCCTTAATACCAATGCCATTGTTTCAATTACTTCGTATAAGAAAAAACATGCTAAGTAAAGAGGACATCTGAAAAAGCTTCCTCAAAGATTACTAATAAAAGCGAAGTTAATCCTGGAATGAAGTACGAAAGCAAGAAATAACCCCAAAGCTGAAGCACAGCAAGAACAGTTTCGCTACAAGAATGACGAATGCTCGTTTCGTGCTGTCCAGGGTTCACTTTACAACTCCAGATGAATTCCTGCTTTCGAAGTTATTTTCTTTTTGCAGGTGCTAATAAGGTAGGTATTTCTACACCAAGTTTCCACAAGCAAAATACTGCAAATAAATTATATACACAGAGATGCTTGTGCATATATCACGAAGATGGGTCCAGTTATAAAGAGGTGGCTGATGGTATACCCAAAATTCTCTAGGTGTGGTCACCTATAGAGCACAATTTGAATAACATGGGACTTCTTGTATGAAACGTACAGGTGGGAGCCTACTCTAAATGACACTAGTCATTCTTCAATGCACAAGTATTTTTCAGGCTTCTATATTTAGCTCTGATTCATAGCGATTGCCCTAACTGATCTAATCTTGTAAAATCTGTGGTATTGGACATTAAGTGCGTTATCGACAAACTGCAAGTCAACCAACAAGCTTCCTAATTTATCTTTCGTATTAAAATAGGTTTCCTGATGGAATCCAATAAGTTTCCATCAGGAACCTACCTAAGAGTAAACCAATACGAGGATCCACCACCACCCTGGTATCGAAGTCGCATGGTGGTAAATCTCCCTCTGATCCACAAAGGCTGCGACTGCCCGTGGTGGTGAAGACCTGGGGCAGACTTTGGCCAGGCTGACCTCAGGTCTCCAGGGAACCATAATGGCTTAATAACTCGAAAGACCGACTTTCTATGAACCTCGGCATAGATAGTTGATATATTTATTTATGTGATCTTATAAACTGATCTTCTTAAGCTGACGCGAGGTTGGTACAGATCTTCGTTGTCGTTGTCGTTGTCGTTGTTTTTGATGTTATTGAACGATGGCTGACGTTTCGGCGACTTCGCCTTCCTCAGAGTCTGGACGTACTTTATGTTAGAATACTTTTTATTATTCGGTGGAAAAAAAGGTTAAAGTATTAATGAAGATCAAACTTTGAAATAGACGCCATATTGAACAGAAAGGTCACTCACCGTGATGTTATGTGCGGAACTGGCCGACACGTAGTTTACGCGAGCAAGACACGCCCCGGGGTCAAAATATCATTTTGAAATAGGGCGCCAGGTTACGCGTGATAGTGAGGCATTCGTCCTTCCGGTTCATCTTTGAATTTTTGAAATTTATCCAAAACGCCTCAAGAGTTCACTGCCTCTCCTCTCATCCTTCACACATGAAAAGCACTTATCAAAAACAGGTATCGTACGGCTAAAAATGTGTGCACAGGAGAAGAGGAAAGGAAGGAATCGCGAAACCTGGCA